AGCCTAGCGTCAACTTGTTGCCATGACCCGTCACGGAATGCCGTGGCCACAGGCTTCAATGAGTTCTTCAGCGCTGCAACAGCGTCACCGGCCTTGATGGTCTCATACCACCCAATGGTGGCGTTGGCGAACAGAATAACCAACAAAATGGCACCATCGGGCCAGTTCTCAAGGGCGAACTCGATGATGACGGCGACCCAAAGGGCAACAGGCATAGGGCCCCATAAGTTACGCACGAATATCAGCCAACTGGGTGTCTTCTTTTCGGGCAGTTCATTTCGGCCGTATTGTTGCAAGAGGTCCTCGGCTTCGGCAGTTGTCAGGCCCTTCGATGGCGGCAGCAGGGGCTCCTCTCCAACGTCGTACTCCCTGTGCTCACTGATGGCCTTGGACAACACAGATTGGCGTCTCTGTGGCTTTTGTGGCGGGAGTTCTTCCCCGTGTTCGTTGTCATTTTCGAACACGGGGTTGTCGTTCTTATTGTTCATGGCTGTTGTTTTTCTTGTTTTGCTTCGCTTAGCGCACTTTAGGTTCACTAGTACCAATAGAAAGAGAATGAGATACCAATTGCGTCTGCAGTGTCACTCAAAACAATACACTTTTCTCTTGTCATGTTAGGCTCTGGTAGCTCGTCCATTTTACTTATTATGTGTCCATCGAGAAGAACCGAGAGGGAAAACGAATAAAATACGTCTCTGAGCGCCCTGAGGCTGTTTGCATGATCCACGAGTGTTGTGAGGAATTTTAAAAACACAATGAGTGGGGAAAAAGGGTTTACAAAAAAAAAATTTACAGATTCGGGGTGGATAAGGGGGGGGGGGAGTTTTACGATTCCTTTTTGGGTCCTCATTCTTTTTTTTTTCTTGAGTTGGTGTTAGATTGTTTCGATTCGCATTCTCATATTTGTTTATTCTTTGATGAATTCATCCCTATAACAAAATCATGTCTCTCGATGTTTCCTTTTTCATTTCATCAATTCTATTCTGAAGCGCCTTTTCTGATATGTGGCCTTTGCTCATGCCCCCATCAACTCTCTTTGATTTGAGCAACAGGCACACTGTTCGGTGGCCAGCACTGCTTGAATCGGCTCTCAAACGGTTTTCGTCGCAAGAAAAAAAAGTGAAACCGAAGACGCGGCGCTTCTCTTTTAGTTAACGCAACTAAAATACTCCTCAAGGAAACACACGTAACTCAGGTAAGGGAATCGAATAAAAGTGGTTCACGAAGGCCCTTAGCGGTTATTCACCTGTTTCCATTACTTCCAATACAACAAAAACCTCAGAACATGTCTCCGTGCTCTCAATAAACGGAAATTAAATTAGCGTCTCGTTTCATTACGAACCCAAAACGCAGAACAGACGGGGCACGTTTGGACGGCCCAAAACCTCTGATTGAAACTCAGAGCATAGAACTTGCAAGAACATTACATCAGTGGCTCTTTCGACTGCTTCGGGTCAGCGGAAGGATCCTCCTCCACGTACTGTTCAATGACCTTTCCGCCATACGCCTCTGACACACATCCGAATAGATCAACGGCCTCCATTAACATATGTGAAAGCACCTTCACAACGTCCTGAACAAGCCACCATACGATGCAGTAGATCCACACCCACAACGGCAGAAGCCTTTCGCTATTCGTGTCACCCCACGCAAGGCCCTCCGTCAGGAGACCATCAGGCCTTGACTCGTGCCAGAACGAAGCCGCCATAGACGACACAAACAGAGAGATAATCGCACCGATCAGAAGCACAAGACCAGGAGCCATCGTGAAGAAGAACCGACCTCCTGTTCGCGAAGAGAACAGTGTCAAGAAGTCGGAGATAGATATCTTAAGGTACAGCAGCGTCACCACCTTACCCTGCTTCAGCTGTGCAAGTCCAAGTGCTTGGAACCACGAATCCGGGTACGACGAATCGCTCCACGCCTCAAGAGCTATCCACAGCAGCATCAGCGATGAACCACATGCAACAGCTGCTAGAATGATAGCGCCCGCAAACGTATAACGAAGATTCCACTGCTCAGGTAGTGGGACCGGTAAAACACGGTCGTAGCCGATCGTCATCAAGCAACCGTCATTCAGCAGCGTGATAAGCATGAACATCAGCACGGGCAGATGGAAGAACTGGAAGTCAGGATCCTCGCTACCGNCGGAAGGTTCCACCGTTGCGGCAGCTTCGAAGGAACAACACGGTCGTAGCCGATCGTCATCAAGCAACCGTCATTCAGCAGCGTGATAAGCATGAACATCAGCACGGGCAGATGGAAGAACTGGAAGTCAGGATCCTCGCTACCGTAATCGCGGGGCGTCAGCGAAAAGCACGCAATGAAGAAGAAGCACACAAGCTGGAGTGTCGCGGAGATACGGTAAGTTAAAAAGGAAAGCATTCGCTGGAAGACCTGGCGAGACACGAACATGGCCTCAACAACGACACTGAGACCAGGGCCCGTCAGCACCATATCGGCTGCGGCACGTGCAGCATCCGTCGCACCCTGCACAGCGATACCTACATCCGCACGTTTCAGAGCAGGAGCGTCGTTCACGCCGTCACCGGTCATTGCGCACGTGAACCCACGCTGGCGAAGCGCCTCAACAATCATAAACTTATGCTCAGGGAACACCTGCGCAAAGCCACCAACGCCAAGCATCATGTCGCCGTACTTCTCGCCAAGGTCGTCAGGGAGATC